ATTCCAATATTTAACAAGAGGCAGCTCACACTGGTAGGAAACTCACGTGACAAAGTCTATGGAGGGCTACAGCATCATAAAAGATACTGTACAGAAAACCTTGCACTATTCCTCAGTTGGAAGGATATGGAGAAGTTTCTGTTCTTTATTATACATTGAAATATAGCAWAACAAATGTCCTTTTATAGCAGTGACAAGTCAGCGACTTGTCACTTGATAAGATAAAGTTAAGAAAGATAAAGTTACCTCTGTTCCGACCGTGAACATGAATGAGGAGTGAAGAAAGAAATCAAACATCTGGCAAAGGTCACATCCAGTGGGAGATGACGTTTGGAAAGCAGTAACACAGACTATGTCAAACCGAGGCACAGAGGACTTGCAAGCAAAAAGAAAAGAAATACCAAGGATTTGGAAGTAATCTTTTCTCTACACACAGAACTGGTATGACTAATGCTGGGATACTATGCTTGGTTCTCTGCCTGCATTTTGAGAGGACATAGGAACTCTAGAGTGTTCTCCAAGGACACAAACAAAGGTGCTGAGAAACACTCCTCAAATTTGCTATTCAAGGTGCTCRTTCCTTCTTTGTCAGGAGAAAAGAGAGAGAAGGTTTGGTCAGCAAAGAYGAGGTATTTAGACCTAGGGAATAACATGTGAAAAATCAAGAAGAAGGGAACTCTCAGCTATGCTAAGACCAACTGCATCCCATAATTAGAACTTAACATTAAGCAAGAAAATATTGTTSCTCTGCATGGAACTGCTGGCAGGAGAAAAGGGCTCATCACTTCCTAGATCAGACACTTTTCTGAGGATAATCTTCAGCCCAACTTAGCAAGAAGAGTTGAGAAAAGCCAAACAACYGGATTGACAAGGACAGTGCTTAGGGCAGTGACATCAATTAGAAGCTTTTGTCTAAACATCTTGGAGCAAAGCAAGACTAAGGCACTTTAATGAACATGAGAACTTTCATAATTACATCAGGTTGACATGCTGAAAAGCAGCTCTGCAAAGAAGGACCTTGGAGGCCTGGTGCACKGCAGCCCGACCRTGAAGTAGCAGTGGGCCCTTGTGGCCAASGCCAACAGGACCCTAGGTTGCAATASGGGGAGTGTTGCCAGCCTCTACCCAACCYYGGTGAGGCCACATTTGGAGCAGTGTCCAGTTCTGGGYTCCCTGGCACAGGAGAGATGGAAGTGCTGAAGAKAGYCCAGTGTGGGGTACAAAGACAATKAAGGGACTGGAGCATCTCTCTTAGGAGGAAATGCTGAGAGAGCTGGACCTGTTCAGCCTGGAGAAAGGATCTTATCTGGGTGTATAAATTATCTGAAGGGAAGGTGTCAAGATGATGGGGCCAGCCTGTTTTCAGTAGTGCCAAGCAAAGGGCACAGACTGAAACACAGGGAATTKTACCTGAATATGGGGAAAACTTTACTGTGAGGCTGTCAGAGCATCAGGGCAGGCTGCCTAGAGAGGTTGTAGAGTCCCCTTCTCTGGGGATATCCAAAGTCCACATGGATGCTATCCTGTGCAGCGTGCTCTCCGTGATCCTGCTGGAGAACAAGAGGCTGGACTAGATCTCCAGAAGTCCCTTTAACCATTCTGTGATTTGTGACCAGTGTATTGGTCTCTCCACAGTTTTGCGGACTTTGCTCATGGTTATTCCATCTCTTCAAGGTCTTGGGAGGAAAAAAGACAGGAAGCAGAGTCCTCAGCAAAGCCCCAAATAGCTGCAAAGCCTCATTAAGAGGAATGAGACATCTGAGTCTTAGGTTGCAGCACCGAGCCCAAGAACTCCTAGTGGTTTGCGTGAAGCTCCAAAGCAGCATCAGAAGCTCAAGATGCACTGACTCCAGAGAAATTCTGCCCGCCTAGTAATCAGCGTACACCAAGTTTCACGCGTAAGAACTTCTCACAGCAAGGGCCAACCTGGAATCCTCCATCCCAGAATGAAACCAGGGACAGAGAGAGGAATTGGTGCTCTGAAGAGAACAGAGCTGCCACAAGGAATGAGAGGCAGGCCTGGGTAGAAAAGATACCAAAACAGGCAGCATTTCCAGTGTGACCCCGAGCGCTCCCAGCCTAATGACACACATACTTGTATTTTCCATGGTTCACTCCGAACACCACCAGCAGAATAAATGAGACAAAGATGTTATGTAGCTCCACTCCTCCAACAGAAAGGACAAAAGCCATCCTGCAACCGAGACACAACACTGTGCAGAATGTGCATCCACACACGAAGGTTTGAACTTCATCTAGTACTACCTAGAGCCAACTGGCTGTTTTTCCTCCAGTCCTGTTGCCCCAGAGTGAAAAAGATTTTTATTATTCTATTTTATTATCAAAATCTATCTTTTCTTTCCACTTGTAGGAATCTGTGGTTTKGGTTATTTTAGTTTGTTTTACATATACACGCACATATATAAACAGACGGAGAGCATGCGTGGGTGAGAGCAACAAGGGATTGCTTCTTGATTTTATTAAACAGGAATTCCTTGACTGCATCTTCATTCAGCTYGAAGCCTGACTTAATTATGTAGAGTGACAAATGTTAATTGGAGAACTGAACTGACCACAGATTATCTCTCCATGCAAGGGGTTCTACAAAGCCAGGCTCTCAGGGGAAGCAAATGCAGCACTCATCTCGATGGCACAACAAGGAATTTCCACCTGGGATTTAATTTTCTCTTTTCATTTCATCTCTGTGCTGCTGCAGTAGCTGTTCCCAGCAGAAGGAAGGTAGGGTAAGACAAGTTTTACGAGTAGTTTAGCTTTAAGGAGAAGAACAACAGGCAACTTCAGCCAGGAGGAATTCTCAGGAGGTGTCAACACTGCACAGGGAAGGGCAACTCCAACCCCAGGCCAACCCTGCAGATCGCTCTGCCCTCATGTGCTGATACCACTGACCAGGGGCTGGCCTCAGGTAGTCCAGCAGATACAATCCTTTGAGGCTAAATTCTGGCTTTCAGTGTATATTTAGTCCCTTTAAAAAGCATTGGAGCCACACCTGGCTGTCTTGAGGGTAGAATTTGGCAGGATTTCTTTTTTTTTCTTCATGATAGTTATCATTGATGCTAGAATAACTATAGCTGTTTTCCAGGCAAGGCTTAAAATCTGGGTAAGCGATGATATGAGAAATTGCATGAGAGACAGGAAACAAGCCAAAGCAATCATCAGCTGCTCAAAAACACCTTCAGAAAAAGCAGCATCATAAACTTTATAAGTATTTAAAAAAAAAAGGGCACTAAAAAGCAGTGCAAGAAGAAACTAGAGAAAAATTTCTATGGGTGCTATAGCCAAGGAAGCTGAAGCAGCTATTAAAAGAGGTGATAGCAAAATACAAACTCAGCAAAACTTTTAACTGGCACATTCACACCAACCAGCAGGCCTGTTAAGGATGAGCAAAGAGAGGTTTTAGAGGAAAACAGTTGGCTTGGGCAGCTCTCATGGAGAGGTAGTTTGGATTTCAACCGTGTAGATAAGATGATCTAATGTCTGCCCTACAAATATTCTCCAAAGATAGAACTAAATGGCAAAATAGGCTCAAGTGGCATAGATTAAGAGACAACTTGAGAGACTCCAGCACAGGCTATGCCAGAACATCTTGAGGGATTATAAAGTGAAAAGAAAAGTAACTCCAACCAAGCAAAAGTGACTCCTTCCCAAAGCAGTTAGAGAGGTAAAAATTTGCTCAATCCGCATTTATTTTAGATACTGGCAAACTAGAATGCATTCTCTGACCCTCGAGTCTGAATTGCTTCTAGAAGCAAAGTCAGAGATGCAGACGAGCAAGTCTGGAGCACAACAGGAGATCCTGAATTGTGGAATCCAAGCGGCAGCTCAGCAGGACACAACTAGAACCAACTGGCCAACCCCGTATGATGGGGTTAATAATTAGTTATGTAAAACATCCGCTGACAATCCCAGCAACTCCCAGCTCGAGCTAGAAGGTAAAGGAGCAAGGTGGAAGTGGATTCACATGCCTGGCAGTAACTCAGGAAAGGAAACAGCACCATGGACCGGTGAGGTGGCAGCTCCATTCATCAGCTTAAATCAGTGTTTGTAACACATTCTACAACACTCCTACTCAAACGTTATTCCCATTTCTCTTACCAGCGGGGTGTGAAAATGGAAAGGTACCAACAGCCTGGGCAGAGGTCCGCACGAAGGAGAGCTTTACAACGAACAGCAAGATCTCTCAGACAYCAATGGCAACTTAAGACCCAAGTTTCCAACCATCAGCTCTTCTGGATAACAGCACCGTGCATTAAGAGTGGAGCAGACAGGCTCTGCTGGCAGATTTCTCACCCACAGCTGAAGGCACGTATTAGCCCAATTGTCAGCATCCTTTCAACACAGGCCTTCAGGAGCTGAGATCTTAAGGGATTTAGCACTACAAAGGACACGCTAAAAAGCAACACTGTGTAGTTTGGAAAAGGGGAGCCTATTTTAGCTTGCCCCAAGCAGCATTTGATGGTTTGAATGGAATTCAGATTCAGAATAAAATAAGTTTGCCTTCAAAACAGATCACATAATTGGCTTTAGGTTTTAGTGCAATTTTCTTTTTAAATGGCCCAAATCTTTAAGTTGCTCATAACTCAACTGTTTGAAAAAAGCAACAAACCTAAGTGCCTGCCCCCAAGGAACTATATTCTTATCCCCAAACTTGAGACACACAGATTGGCCAGCGAAGCAGCGATGAAGGAAACTGCTACAGCAGCATCTTGAACAAAACAGCAAACAGCCCCGAGAGCTGCACATCTAGAGGTGAGACTTTCACTTCACAGATTTACTTCCCTCAATCAAAGCTGCATAAAACCCAGTTCTTAATATCCTCTCAAAACTCGGAAGGCGGTTGAGCAGAAAGGGATAGAAATGCTAAGGCATTAAGGTTTTACGGCTGTATTTTATATCTCGGAGCAAAGCAAGGCAACAAAGTAATACGTCAAGGGTTTGCTCAAATGAAGGTAGAAATCAGCAATGTGATCTGATCTACTCACCCTTTTCATCAGGATCCAGGGAAAGTTTCTTAGTGTCTTCAGCCAGCAGATCCTGCAAGTGGTCTTGTCCATGCTCTGCATCATTATCATCAAACTGAGCTTCTATAATGACATCTGGACTTTCAGCATCGCCTTTCACGGTCTCTCGAGGAAGGCAAGTCCCCAGCACATCCTCAGGGACATCTGATTCATGTGTGGCTTCTGTTTCTTTGTCACTACCATCTGGCTTTATTACCTGAAGGAACAGGGAGTTGACAAAAAAAATAAAAGAAAAAAAAAAAGCCAAGCTAAATCACTGGACTGGGGAAAGAAAACATTATCTTTCCTCTCTCATCTGCATCCCCAAGGAGCTGAGAGTGAGTTATGGGTGGCTGGTGGCAAACTGCAATTGCCATGTAATTAGCCACAGATATTGCACAATCCAAAGAGGTACCTCACCAGGAAAAAGATGGGAACGGCACGGGCTTTTGTAATACCTCAACTGTGACAATAATGTGTCCAAAGCGTATCTAGAGCATAACCGCACAGTTCCTGCCAAGCCTCTAATCAGCCTTCCAGAAGCTGGGAGTAAACAGAGACRAGGAGGAGGACACACTACAATTTAATGAGCTGCTTAGGCCATTGTTGAGCAAGATAAACTAATCAGCCTAACCAAGTCCCCAAACTCCAGCAGCTCCAGTGAACGCCAGGACCATGTCAAAGTTGACCCTGGGGAGACCTCCAAAACACACTGTCAGTCTGAAATTATATAGATGTGTGTGTATATTTTTTTTATTTTTTTTTGTGTAAACACACACACACACACACATATACATATATATATATATATATATGCACACGCCTATGTCCCATAGCCTGAGGAGGAAACGGGAGAAGTCTGCTAAAGCACCAACCTTTACATTTCTTTTAGGCTCCCATCTTCCTGTTAAAGGCACTGAATTATTGCTGTTGCCTACACCAATCTGCCGATTAACTCCTCCAGAGGAATGAACTCAGAGCACATGCTAGTTAACCATTACCTAACTGGTAATCCACACACAAGTGAGTGACTATTGCTGCAGATTTGTAGCTGCTTTCCCACTGGCATGGAACAGCAGCAAAAGGAGAAAAGGAACCATGTGAAAAATAAAATATGTCAAGAAAAAGCCACAAAGAAGCCTCTTCTGAATAAGGCAGACGGCCAGCAGAGCTGGATGACATCCCTCACTGCAAAGTTACAGAGATGAAGGGAGATCACACCTTGGCTAAATACGTCTTTACTAGCATCCTTCGTGCAACCAAGTTTGAGGTACTCATCGGTTCCTTGAACCTAGATGCAGGTCTTTGTTTTAAAAGCAGTGCTTAAAGTCCACCTCGGGCTGCAGAAATTCGGTGTGAAATCCAGATCGGCTTGGAATAAGAAACTCCCGGGAGACCTTTCTCCAGAGTTCCCAGGATCAGTAACCCGGAACATGACAGCAGCAACTCACGCTGCCAGAAATGCGAGCAAAGGGTCCTTTAAAAACGTAAGGAGAAAGCTTTCTAGCAGCAATTTCTATGATAGATGCAGTCACTAGCAATAAGCAGAAATAGCCTCAATAGGTCATAGCTGAAGACAACGATATCAAGTGAGAAAAAACGCCAAAAAAAGCTTCACAAATTCTAATCTAGCAATTGAAAAGCAAATAGATCAAATTAAAGCTGTACAGGCAAGACTTTCACAACTTTAAATATACAGAGCTGCAGTCATGACTTCAAGCAGTACCAATTTCTTTTTAAGCTTTTCGCAATACGTAACAGAAATAAAATCAATTTTAAAATGGGGCTGAATTCAAGGCTWTTAAAAAAAGCTCTAAAATGACATTATTCTGAACTCCTGTTACCTTCTGTGACTCTGCTTTCCATCTTTATTTTCATTCCTTTAAATATGTATATAATTTGTTACCATAGCAGATTTTGAATCAAACATTAGATCTCGAAAAAAAAAAGGGGGGGGAAACTTTGGCAGAAGGTGCTAAAATGGCCGATGATTAAACCTGGCTGCGTTCGGTGCATAAAATACTCACACACAATGGTCTGGGCAAGAACACTCTATTAGATTAGAGAGCTGACAAGGCTCCACACACTAGCGACTCTGCCAGTGTGCCTATCCAAAAAGAAAACTAGTGTCAACAGTAATGTTTGGACCTTGCCGTGGTCAGATGTAGACGTATTCAGCTCTTAAATTTCAATTGCACCAGATGTGTGCAAGTGTGCAACTGCAGCGGGAGTTCATTTTCTTCAACGCCTTCAGGCTCTGCCTGAATTTCTCTCTTTCCAAGTCATTCTTTAGGCCGTAAAAGTTGTGTTTCGGGTGCTAAATTACTAATCTTTCTATATGTAATGCACAACAGAGCTATCTGAACGATAGAGCTTTCCTAATGCTTGGCTGAAAAGTGCTTGAAGAGTTTATGTTACATTAAATAAGCAGATAGAGGTTCCCTTTTAAGCAGGATACATTAAAACTACCATGCTTGCCCCAAGCTAGAGGACAGAGCCCGCTGTCACTAGCTGGCATAATGCTCYGTGACTACCTAAGCCCCTAGTCACACATCTCCTCGTAGATTTGCAAATGGATTTTTAAGTAAAGTTTTCCACAGTCCGCAAACCATGACCCCCGCACGGTTGAGACCCCACAGTGTCCAGGTGCTGTCAAGCAGGATTCGTAGGATTTTGCCTTCCTGTTAGGGCCAAGACGGATCATTTAGGCTGATCTCATACATAACAGAGCAGGGAATTTCACCCAAAAATTCTTAGATCACACCAAAAAATTTACGGAAGCTGTACAGCACAAGGGTGGAAAGCTGCGTAAGATTTTGCAAAATCAGACACTCGATGGATATAATTATTCCATTTAATGTGATCAAAGAGTCGTCAGGAAGAGAGTGCATTATGCAGATGCTAAAAAGCAGGATCGTTCTGCATTTGAGCAGCAGCACGTTGGAGCAGTACAGATTAAGTTTCTTGAGAGAGCAGCATTTCCAGAAACTTGAAATTTATGATATTGCACTCTTATTTCCTATCATACTACTGAAGCTCATACATGCAACAATGCATACAACTAGTCAGTACTTAGCAGAGATGCAGAATAAAATAAATAGACAAATGACTCTGTTTGGGCAGTACAGATGTACCTCTTTTCCTCTGCATGKACCTGAAAGGAATCTCCTCTTGTTGCATATTCATAACTAGAACAATCCTATAACCACGCTCACATTCCAGGATATAAAGTTAGGTCTCTCAAAGAACCCAAATTTCCTGACTTGTGAAGTCAAATGTCAGCCTTATGGTTGCATTATTTCCGCATGCTCTATATTAAAAAAGACAGTCAAGAGATAATTGTTTATTTGAATGTTTGAGCTTCAAGATAATGGCTGTATAGATTTCCCTCCAACTTTCAACATCCATCGCTGAACAAGCATCAAGTTTCTGCCCTACAGTGATGAGTTTTTACAGTCATAGTTGACTGAGCAGCAGATCTTTGACTGAAAGTCCCATTTCCACCATAAACATAATAAAAACAGCTAGTGGGCAAATGCATCCTGTGTACGATCTGGACAGCGGGATGATTATCTCGCTGTATCCAGCGCAGTCTAGAAGTGACCATGGAATGGAACAAATGACCTTACTGGTGAGGAAACTGTTCCAACAGACCCCAAACCTCCGCATGGGAAAGCATTGAGGACTACCTCCCGAGTGCGGCAGAAACTGCTTTCTCAGTCAGGAGAAACCCTGCATGTGCCCCAGTAGCTCCATGCATTCCACCGACCTGCCGCGTGCAGCAGCCCATCCGCACACGGACACAGCTCCATCGTCCTTATTCCCACCACACTTAACGGCCTCGCTATTGCTGCCTCCTCAATGACAATAGCCAACAACTCATACATTGTGTCTATAATATCACACTATTGACCAAAACCAGTGAAGTTCAGCTGTCTTTGGGCTATTCACCCCCTGATATTTTCCAAAAGAGACATCGATCCCAAATGGAGAACTTCAGCCTGATACCACTAGGGCTGCTCTTCTTTATTGCTTAGCTCTAGTCATAAGAAGCAATCTATGGATCTGAGAAATCTATTGATGGCCACATGTGAGGAGGAAGTATGGATGACTGCTACACTTACGACACAATTGGGCCTCTGCACCTCATATGGCTAAATCCTTCYACATAGGGAGCCTACTTTCAATGGCAGAAGCTAGTGGAGAAAGAAATAGAGAGATCTCCTCCACCAAAAATACCCAGTAGGTAAGAAAGCAGAATCATCTTCTATGATACTTTAGCCACGGATTGAAGAACTATGAAGTCTTTCATTTTAGTCAAAATGCTGTTATTAAAGGAAATAAAGATACTGAATTTTAGACATTTCCACCAGAAGACTGTTATTGGAACTCTTCAGGTCAAACTTGTTCCATATGCTCCAGGACATAACCATTACTTCTTAAAGTACTTAAGCACTTCTTAAATTACTATCTTAAATCCTTATAAAAATATCCAACTAAAYGCATTCAGTTTTCAAAATTGCTGCACTCTTTTCCAAAGCAAAACTGCTTCAGAAGTTCAAAGACAGCATTTGCCTCCATTGAAAATGAAACAGCAAATAGATACATGACTAATTCTAAGCGATTAAGTGGATTTTGATTACACAATGACGGGGTATGGCTGTGATATTTCTCGGATTAGCCAAACTTGGTCAGCAAGAAGCCCTGGGAGATAGTTCCCGGAGGAGGTCTTGCAATGAACGTGCAGCAGGGAACTCAAATACATGTAGTACAAGAGGCCGCAGAGCAGTCTGCTGGGGACTGAGTGTTGGGGGGGATTTTGTAGATGTCTGTACCAGGCCAAGCATTCCCAATAATCTGAAACTAAGCATTAAGTCACTGGTAATAAAACTTGCAAATGACAGAGACTTGCAGAGCAGTCCAGTTCAATTAGCGAATCAGGTTGATCTGACTCCAGAACATTTGAGAATAGCCAAAAGCAAACTCAAATATCTAATAATACGCAGCACAAGCCTGTGAATGGGACTGTCCYGGAAACCACTGGCTCTGAAAGAATGCAAAAGGCTCCTAACGCGCAAAGCTCTCAGCAAGAGCATCCTTGGTAGGAGAAACAGAAATACAATCTTGGCTTTGCACTGGGGAAACAGAAAGCAGATTCATGCAGTGCACATTTCCACCAGACATTGGGGAACGAGTGGAGATGCTACAGCAGCACAA